CGCAGCCCCCCCCCCCCCCCCCCCCCCCCCCCCCGGAGCGGACACAGGAGCATCTCTGAACGACACTTTTTATCGTCTTTCAGGAAGCATTGCTACCCGGGGCCTACAGCGAGGCCGCTGCTGATTCCAGAACTCCGGCGCTCTGGAATCTTTTCTAAAACAAACATCGGTGCTCGGCACCAAACTGTGATAGAGAAATCAGATTTTCCCCTCCATTTAAAACGTTCCACCTCATCACAATACTACCAAGGAAGGTATCATTCCAATACGACCCACCCCCCCCCATTCATTCTTTCTGGCCAAAAATAGCTGCTGATGCAAGTTCCACATCGTGTAATGCGGCTATATTTAATTATTATGACCTCATGTAATTGTACTACAGCAGGCACAGCGACACAGTCTGGCAAAGAATTAAAACCCTCAACTGTATCGGCATCTTTATTCAAATAAGGTCATTTAAACAGACATTTACAAGTGTAAATCGATTGGACATCATTGCACTGCTTTTTCCATTAAAACATTTGTGCATTTGACAAGAGATTCATTTAGCTGGGTTCAAGACTTAAAAAAATAAAAATAGAAAAATAAATAAAAGACATGAGGAAAGAAAATGCGATCGCTGCATCTCCCCCATGCGGCTGCTGCGGCGCTATGGGGAGATGACAAGGTGGCACCGTCGCAGGAACAACGGGCTGTGGATGGCCGCAGCGGGGAGGGATGCTGGATGGTTGGTAATGTGCCGTGTCGCACCTCGAGAGAATAGCAGACCAGTTTAACTTTTTTACACGTATGTCAACACAAAAAAAAATAAAAAATCGAGACTCAAAACTGCTCCTAAGCCACACTTAGCCCTCCCACCAGCAGAAGGTTCCACGCGCAAACGAGCTCACTCTGCAAGAACTGAGTTATAACCTATGTGTGCTGCTTGTACGTAACTGTATGAAGTGGCAGAATTTCCGCAGGCACGTGCCCACACTGCTGTGTGGCTCAGTGAGCTAGGGGTGCCGCTATGAGACAGGAATCCCTACTGCCATGAGTTTAAGGCTGTCCTGAAGCTAGTCTCAGTTTCTTTAGGGGGCAGTTTGTGGCTCAGTGGACCAAGCCTATGTGCCTGTGATTAGAAAGTGGCCGGTTCGAGCCCAGCCTCGGCACGTCTGCGGGTCCTTAAGCAAGGTCCTTAACCCCCAGCTCCCTGCTATGGGTGGCCGCCCTTCGCGGCCAGCCGGCTCTCACCTACACAGAGCAAGTTGGGGGAGGCGTAAAGAGAATTTCCCCATGGGGATCAATAAAGCATCAATTACGTTAAAGTTATTTCAAGGGACGCGAAAGACAGATACGAAGCTAATGTTTGTAACGTCCCACTGCCCAGAGCACCAAAAGCCTGCTGATCATTCCTCTACGGACGTCCATCACGCCATCTGTGAAAGTGCGGTATCTACTGTACCTCCTTTCATCTCCTAACATAATTTAATAATGCTTTACAGGTGTTAGCCGTACTGGATGTCTGATGTATAAAGATCCGTATCACTATAAGTCAGACCATCTTTACAGTAACAAACTTCTCCCTGTTCTGTGACTCCCCAGTCTTTCCAATAATCTCCTCTAGGAAATGTTTATTCATCAGACACTTCAGGTCATGGTACAGCTACGGCAGCGTTTGCCTCGGCCGGTAAAAACAGTGACCTCCAGTTCCTAAAGACTCCTGGGCTGGTTCCAAATTTCTGGAACCCTTTAATCGAATGCAATTTCTGAAAAAAAATTGAATCCCCTACCTCTCTCACTAAGCAAGCAGAGTACGACGCCTCCTCCATCTGAGTTTACGTTTAATCAGACTTCAGAGAATCTTTTATATCAGAGGAGATGGATATCAGGAGGGCTTCTGATCATGCTCGTTAACCAATTAGATTCTAAAACTGTCAGAGTTAATTAAAGGCGGGAAAAAGATGGACAAGGCAAACTCACATTTCAAGCTGAACAAACAAAAAAAAACCTCAACAGACAGGAAGGGCTGTGTGTGACTCAGAGCACGCTATGTCTTCCACGTTTTTCAATTACATCGCCAAAACATCGCCGGAGGCCATAAATCGTAATAAAAACAACGTGGATCTCAACACAGATATGTTATTTTAAATAAACAGTATTTGTACTCCAGCTTGGACAAGGCAAATTTCGAATGTGGCTGGAAATGGGTGGGGGGTGGGGGGGGGGATGTCATTCATTTCCAGCAGCGGAGCGGGTTCAAATGAAACCACAAGGCACACCAACAGAACCGTGCATGGGGTCCAATCCCAGCTCCACGATGATGAGTCGTCCCTTCTACTTTCTAGGTTAGACACAAAATAGTAGACAGACCCTGAATTCTCCCTTGGCTTCACATGGTTACATATGAAATATTAATTACAGAAAAGCAGTGAAGATATTTTAAAGGCGGGAAGGAGTCGTCGCTTTTTGAGTTTTGCTTCCGTTTCTGCTCCCCACACTCTGTTCGCCGCCGAGGCGTGACACACTGACAGCTCGCTGAGACGCGATGAGTGGGGGGGGGGGTTTCGGGTAATTTCTTCCTAACCTGGAATGTCTGAGCAAACGGACCACATAGGGCAGAGACAAAGTTGAAAATGCGTGGAGAGGAAGAATGGATGCGGCCATTTGCTGAAGCGAGTATAAAGACAGGCATGCTGGGAACGAACTGGGGCAACTCACCATGGAGTTGTAATGGAAAAACATCCCGCACCAAAGAGGTAGGGTCTTCATGAAGGGAGAAAGACACACAGAAATAGATGGAAAAACCATTATTATAAAGTTATATATAACATTTGTACATGTCTGCTTAAATGTGCAACACACACAAAAGCTTGTTCTAGTTAAGACTGAAGTTTATAACCATGCAAATTCAATTCAAACTCTTGACAGGTTTCTGGCAACAGAGTTCAATTCCGGACAAGAGCAATTTCAATGGTTATAATTTACAACAACATATTAAAGCGTAAGGAGCGATTCCTTTTAAACTTGACCACTGGTCGCGAGAGCAGTGCAACCGCACCCTGTCATGATCCAGGGGACCAAGAGCACTCCTGGGCAGAAAAAGGGGGGGCACTGTATCGCAACGCTAATACTCCCCACTGGCCCCATATGTCGAAAGATAATATACATTAAAAAATTCACATACACTACAAAACAATGCAAGACTGAATTCTGCTCATCCCAGAGAAAACTAATCCTAGTCACTTCAACTTAATGATAAAAAAAAATCATTAAAAATTTAACTCATATATACATCATCATTTTAATTACCAAACCACTTATGCCAATTCACTGAAATGCTAAATGTCATATTGTAGAAACAAAATGGTTTATGGGGGGTCGGACCGCATCCTTGGGTCAGAGGTGTATGGGTCAGAACATCCTGGAGAAGTCCTCAGAGAGTGTGTGAAGTCCACTCAGTGAATTCACCACAGCTTGGACAAACTAACTATGTGGTAGCCTGAAAAAGCAGCATATATAAACCCAAGAAGGCCTGAAGGGGGCGCTGTGGGGTCTCTCGCCCTCTAGGCTCAGGTCTGACATGCAGGTGAAAACCGCCATTACAGATGTCACTGGCACAGCCCCCTGACCTCTCCTTAAGGGGGTTAGGAGGATAGGCGATTAGCTGAATGCGGCCGTCAAGTCGCCCGCTGCATAAACATTTAGGCTCGAGTTAAAACGGGATAGGGGTCGTGCTGGAAACACTGAAAACAACATGAAAGAGGCTTTATAAATCCTGAACCGGCTGACATGTTTACACAAACACAGCCTGTGCTGATGTCGCAGACAGGCTGCACTTAAAGCGGGACGATCGGGCTCTTGCGTAAGCATCAGGGCACCTAGACCGTTTCCCGATGAGAGCTGAATGCTGCCCCCCCCCCATCCACCCCTCACCACGTCACGGCTCTAACCTGGCAACGTCATGCGCTGGGACCTGCGGTAAATAGAACAGGACGCACTGAATCTCCCAGGCGATGCCTCACACGAGGGCCAGTTGTGTCGTCTGATGTCAGGCTGACCTGCATGCGGTCAAAGGACGACAGATCTCCCTGCCTGTTTCACTCGGTAATGGGGTCATGTGACCCCCACAGCCAGCTGCATGTATTAATAACACGGCATGCCCACTTCAGACTGTCTCCATGACTTTCAACGCACACGTACATCCCTCACGACACTGGCTCTCCGCAGACTCAACGCCCCAATCCCGGGAAGAACGGGGCCCACGGAGGGGCCATGACACCCTGGGGTTTATGGGATTTGGATGCAGGCACCTCAGTGCTGGCCACATACACAGTTTAGGGCAGGTGGTGGTGCCGTATACCAGAAAATCCAGTAACCAGAAGGGTGCTGGTTCAATACTCAGCTCATTGTACACCAGCCATATAAATAGACACTATGCAGTTGTTCATAATCTAATTAAGAGTAATAAGTGAGGTTACACTGTGGCACAGCCACTCTGGCAGGGTTGCAAGTTCGATTTTAGCCATGTTCGTGTGTGTGTGTGTGTGTGTGTGTGTGTGTGTGCGGTTGTGCTGGCTTCCGGCAGATACTGCAGTGGCCTCCTGCCCTGTACATCCTCACAGTGTGAGGGACCCCAGGACCTACCGTGCAGGGCTCAGGTGCAAAGAGCAAGGCTGGCTGCTGTCCTTCCTTCATGCAACACTGGAGACCAGATGCAGCAGCGATGGATGTCCAACCGTTACCAAAATCTATGATTCCCCTCCCCCAAGCCCAGATGTTTGGCGCCAAGGGGTGTGTGAGAGCCCTTATGGTCCGGCATGCGAGGACGTCCAGGCATAGCGGCGGGCGCTGATGATATCAGTGGAGGCAGGGAGATAGACGTACAGCACATACGGAGGAGCACACACAGCTGGGGCTGACTGCAGATGTTCCGGGTCCCGACCCAAAACGAGATGGGGGGCAGACATTTGTCTGGTTCTGCTCAGTGCCGGGGGGTGGGAGTTGGATGGGAGAGCCAGGAAGCAAGGATGTTGAGCACTGCATGGAAAACATCCGCATGGGGCAGTTCCCTCAAAACACAGATATCACCAGGGGATAGACCCAAC